CGGATCCATGATTCTCTCTCATCATCGATGTGTGTCTCTCCCTCTCTCTCTCTCTCTCTCTCTCTCCCTCTCCCTCTCCCTTCCTCTCTGAAATCAATGAAAATGTTTTTTAAAGGGAACTCTGCTCAGCCCAGAGGGAAGCATGTGCACCCCAAGCTTCATTCCCTCCATCCTGAGACGTGTCCAAGCCAATGGACCCTGCCCCAGCCTCTGGGCTCCGGTTCTGATCCTCTGCCTCTGTCTGTCTGTCTGTCTGTCTGTCGGAAAACGTTAGGTACCCGACCACTTGGGCACCCACTTCTCTCTCCCCCTCCCCCTCGCCTCCCTTCTTCCCCCCTCCTCCTTGCTTCCAGCTTTTACAAAGGGATTTGTGCCCGTCCCCAGCGCTGGTGGTGATATTACCGAAAATGGCCCTTGCCCAGCAGTAACCCAGGTTTTCTGAAAGTCCGTCTTCCACCACGAGGTGGCAGTGTTGCCCCGGCTTGCTCTCCCTCACCTGCCATCTGCCAGGACTGGTTCTGTCAGACAAAGGGGTTCGCTCAATATTTAAGCTGGGGAACCCCATCGCAATGAGCTACTCTCAAACCAAGTGATTCTTTTTAACAAAGTGTGCTTTCTATTGATTCTTAGAGAAACAGGAAGGGCGAGGGATAGAGAGATAGAAACATCGATGATGAATCATGGATCCGCGGCCTCCTGCACGCCCCCCACTGGGGGATGGAGCCCGCAACCCGGGCCTGTACCCTGACTGGGAGCTGAACCAGTGACCTCCTGGTTTCTGGGCCGACGCTCAACCGCGGAGCCACGCCGGCGGGCCCAAACGATCCTTTTGGTTCCTGTCCTCCAGTATCATCCTGGAGCTGGAGAGACACAACTGCCACCAGCTTGTTCCGGAAGCTTACTTGGCTTTCTTGCTTTAAACCATGTGTTCTGTGGCCAGGTTACTAGGCAATTAACACACACACACACACACACACACACACACACCTTCACATATATTTTTAGATAAGTTTGGGTTTACAGAAACATAAAACAAAGTACGGAGTTCCCATGTGCCCTTCAGCTCCCCCTCAGCACCAGCCCCGCCATTATAAATGTGCAAATGGAGCTGCCAGGACAGTCTCAGGGACGCTGGGCATGTCAGCCTCTGACCCCCTCCAGAGCGGCACCACCTGGCGCCCGCCGTGCCAGCCCCTCCCGCACCCCGGTGCCCTGAGGGCGCTCCTCACACCCCCTCGCTCCGCCTCAGGATGGGAGGCTCAGAGGTGAAGGCCTCCCCCCAAAGGAGCACAGGCTGCCAACGCCGGTTTGGCTCAGTGGGTAGAGCGTCGGCCTGCGGACTGAAGGGTCCCAGGTTCGATTCCGGTCAGGGGCATGTAGTTTGGCTGCGGGCACATCCCCGGTGGGGAGTGTGCAGGAGGCAGCTGGTCGGTGTTTCTCTCATCCATGTTTCTAACTATCCTTCTCCCTTCTTCTCTTCTCCCTCCATATATATATATATATATATATATATATATATATATATATATATATAATGTATATTTTATATATATAATATATGTATTACATATATATGTAAATATATATATATTTTTTTAACAGCACAGATTTTTGGGATGAAGGGACACGAGTGTTAGAGATGGGGGACACGGGTGTCAGGGATGGGGGGCATGGGTGTCAGGGATGAGGAGACACGGGTGTTAGGGACACGGGTGTCAGGGATGGAGGACACAGGTATCAGGGATGGGGGACACGGGTGTCAGGGACGAGGACACGGGTGTCAGGACGAGGGGACACGGGTGTTAGTGACGTGTTCCTCCACCGCCTGTTCCTTTCTTCCCCTCACGTCGGGGCAGCCCTGCCCACAGGTGAGGAGGGACAGGCTGGGATCCAGACGGCCTTGGTGTGGTCGCTCAGGGACCTGCCCTCACCTCGCCGGGGGCTGAGTTTGCCCTGGCTCCTCTGCTCAGCGCTGCCAGCGGCGCCCGCGTACTGCATACTGCGTGGCAGTTCAGGTTTCTGCGTTTCGGGCGCCTTCCTCTCCCCCCTCTGGGTACGGGAAGAGGCTTAGGGTGAGCCACGTGGGCAGGGGCTCGGCCCTCAGGGTGAGGACACAGCAGGCACCCGCCCGGCAACAGACTGGCCCGGAGCTGTTTTTCCAAACTGTCCCTGCTCCCCTTTGTTCCCCTCAGAGCGGCTGGCGTCTGGCAGGCCGAGAGCTGTCAGCTCTGCAATGTCCTTCGCACGTCACCTGCCCCTTCCAGCCTCCTCAATCCTCTTATTTTATTTTAAATATATTTTATTATTTATAAGGTTCCAGAGAGGCGGGGAGACAGAGACAGAAACATCAGCGATGAGGGAGAATCATGGACCAGCGGCCTCCCGCACGCCCCCCCTGGGGATGGAACCGAAACCCAGGCCTGTGCCCTGACCATGGGTTGTTGGTCAACCACTGGGCCACCCTGGCCGGGCCTCATCTGTTATTTTAACAGCCCCGCTGTGTTGAGGTAGAAGTCACCTGCTGTAAAGCCCGCCCTGCGAAGCACAGTCGGTGTTCTCACTGCTTCACGGCGCTGTGCACACCGCGCCCGCCCATTTCTGAGCGTTTTCTCCGCTCCCGAAAGAAGCCGCCCCCTCCCCTCCCAGCCTCCGCAAAGGCACCTGCTTCCCATCTCCGTGGGTTTGCCTCCTCTGGGCATTTCATGTGAGTGGAACCATGTAGAGCCTTTTGTGGCTGGCTTCTTCTTTTTTTATATAATATATATTTTATTGATTTTTGTACAGAGAAGAAGGGAGAGAGCTAGAAACATTGATGAGAGAGAGTCATCGATCAGCTGCCTCTTGCACACCCCCTACTGGGGATGTGCCCGCAACCAAGGTACATGCCCTTGACCAGAATCGAACCCGGGACCCTTCAGTCCCCAAGCGGACGCTCTATCCATTGAGCCAAACCGGTCTCGGCTGGCTGGCTTCCTGAACTTAGCATGTTTTCAAGATTCCTCCAGGTCCGTGGTCGGCAAACTGCGGCTCTGGAGCCACATGCGGCTCTTTGGCCCCTTGAGTGTGGCTCTTCCACAAAATACCCCGGCCTGGGAGAGTCTATTTGAAGAAGTGGCGTTAGAAGAAGTTTAAGTTTAAAAAATGTGGCTCTCCAGAGAAAGGTCAATCGTTGTCCTGTTGGCGTTTGGCTCTGCGGACGGATGAGTTTGCTGACCAATGCTCCAGGTGGTGCCATGCCTCTGAGGGGTGGCTGACGGTCCCCTGACGGCTGTGCCTCCGGTTCACCCCTTCGTCGGCGGGTGAACTCGGGGCAGTTTCCACTCCTGAGCCTTTAGCAGAAGGACGCCCCCACCTCCGCGTGGAGGTGTCCGTGTGGCCGCCTGCTTTCCGTTCCCGCGGTCTCCGCCCGTGCTGACCTGCTGGAAACGCTGCCCCTCGTTCTCCCCGGCGGCTGCTCCCTGGGCACCCCAGCAGCCAGGCAGGGGTCCCAGCGCCTCCAGGTCCTCACAGCACCTCTAGGTCATGACCATCTCTGCCTGCACATCACCGCCCCATGGCTGTGAGCCTCTGGGCCACCGGCCGGCCTGAGGTGTCACTACAGCACAGGCACGTCTGGATGCATCCGGCCGCTCATGGACGTGCGTTTCATTGTCATCAGTTCACGCTCCAGCCGGGAGGCCTCCTGGAGGAGAAAACGCGGGTCTGGGGGCACATCTTCCGGAAAACCCACACACACACGGAGGGCGCTGCCGCCTGAGGGCCCCCGGTCAGCCTCCCTGCCCTCCTTCTCCCGGCGGGGGCACAGTGCTCTGGCCGCCTGGCCAGGAATGAGGGCACCGCTGGATTCAGGCAAGTTTCCTTCCTTCCTTCCTTCCTTCCTTCCTTCCTTCCTTCCTTCCTTCCTTCCTTCCTTCCTTCCTTCCCTCCCTCCCTCCCTCCCTCCCTCCCTCCCTCCCTCCCTCCCTCCCTCCCTCCCTCCCTCCCTCCCTCCTTCCTTCCTTCCTTCCTTCCTTCCTTCCTTCCTTCCTTCCCCCCTCCCTCCCTCCCTCCTTCCCCTCCTAAATATATTTTATTGATTTTTCACAGAGAGGAAGGGAGAGGGATAGAGAGCTAGAAACATTGATGAGAGAGACATCGATCAGCTGCCTCCTGCACACCCCCCACTGGGGATGTGCCCGCAACCAAGGTACGTGCCCCTGACCGGAATCGAACCTGGGACCTTCAGTCCGCAGGCCGACGTCCTATCCACTGAGCCACAGTGGTCAGGGCCAGGCAGGTTTTCTCGCCCCCCCCCCCCCCCCCCGCTGTCCCGGGGCGGGATTGGAGGTGGTGGGGGAGGCATAGTGTTTCTTGGAGGGAGTGACAGGCACCTGTGCTTCCCCCATCCATTCCCGAAGGCACAGCAGACATTTCAGTCCTTCTCTGTCCTATGGTGGCAAGTCAAAAGCCTCACGGATCACTTAAACTGTGAAGTGACGTCATGACTGCCGCTGACGTTAAAGTAAGGCGCTGACGTCATGGTCCTGCTGGCTCCTCATTGGCGGCTCCCATGCAGCTAAGCATCCAACCGCGGGCCCGGCCACGGGCCTCAGCCCGGACTGGTCGCACTCCGGCCCCCAACGGCTGGCTCACGTGCTCCCACAGGCACCGCTGGGGCCCGCCATCGGCCCCGCTGCCGCCCGCCTGGGCCCAGGCCGCCACCCAAAGCAGGACTGGCCCGACCTGACTCTGCCCTCAACCAACATGGCCGCCGCGGCTTCAGACCGCAGCGGGCATGTGGGTCACGTGATTGAAAGCACGTCCTCTGATTGGTTGACCCTCCTGGGAGGGCGGGACACGAGAGCCCAGCGGGCCCGGCCTTAAAGGGCCCGCCGCCGAATCGACTCCGCCGGAGCTCCGTCCCCGAGGCCTGGCGGGCGGGGCTGGCGCGGGGGCCGCGTCTGCCGACCCGGAGGACGCCCCGGGCGCTGGGAGGCCGGCGGCGGGGCGCCGGAGCCGCGATGGAGGCCGGCGGGCCCGCGGCGGGGGCGGCCGGCGGCGAGGGCGGCGACTGGAGCTTCCTGGACGGCGAGCTGGCGGCCGGGGCCCTGCGCGGCCCGCCGGGCGCCACCATCGCCTGCCGCCTGGACCCGCGCGTGTTCGCGGACGGCCCGTGCCGGGTGAGGCGGCGGGCGGGGCGGGGCGGGCCGGGCCGGGCGGGAGAGGGGAGCGGGCCGGTGCGCGGGCGGCGGCGCTCCCTCCAGGGCCGCCCGCACCTGCCGGCCCGTCCGCCCCGCGGTCCCAGCGGCGCCCTCCAGCGGCGGGGCGGCCCCGGGCGGGGGCGGGGGCCGGGGCGGAGGGGTCGCCCGGGGCCTGGGGCTGAGTCACAGGTCCGGCTGCGCCGGCGGAGGGGCCGCCGGGGTGGGGGCGGCGGGCGGCAGTGGGTGGAGCGGCGGCGGCGGGGAGGGGCCCCCTCCGGCCGGTGGGCACTGACCGCCGGAGGGGGACCTGCCGCCCAGGAGCCTGGGCCATGGAGCCCGCCCCCTGTGAGCTGGTGAGCGGGCGGTGTGCGGACCAGGGCGGGAGGAATTCTTTCAAGCCTGCAGTTCACGTCCGAATAGAAGGTGGGCAGGGGTGCGGGGTGAAGCCTGTGTTCCAGCGAGATGCCCCGGCGGGGCAGCTGCCAGACCTAGTGCTCCCCTCCGGCTCCGAGCTGCACACACTGCACACTGCACACACTGCACGCACTGCAAATGCTGTACACACTGCGCACTCTGTGCGCACTGCAAATGCTGTACACACTGCATACTGCGCACACTGTGCACACTGCAAATGCTGTACACACTGCACACACTGCACTCTGTGCACTGTACACACTGCATACACTGCACATACTGCATACTGCGCACGCTGTGCACACTGCAAATGCTGTACACACTGCATACTGCGCACACTGTGCACACTGCAAATGCTGTACACACTACATACTGCGCACACTGTGCACACTGCAAATGCTGTACATACTGCACACATTGCAAATGCTGTACACACTGCACACTGTGCACGCTGTGCACACTGCAAGTGCTGCACACACTGCACACACTGCATACTGCACATGCTGTGCGCACTGCAAATGCTGTGCGCACTGCACACACTGCATACTGCGCACACTGTGCACACTGCAAATGCTGCACACACTGCACATGCTGCATACCGTACACACTGTACATGCAGCACACGCTGCACACACTGCATACCGTACACACTGCACACTGCAAATACTGTACACAATGCACACACTGCACACCCTATACACTGCACATCCTATCCATGTGATCGCACACACTGCTGTACACGCTGTACACACTGTTCATTGCACACACACTGTGCACGCTGCACACAACACACTGTGCCCAAGGCTGTACCTGCTGCAGTGCTGTGCACACCACACACACCGAGCGCTCTGCACACGCTGCCGCTGGGCTGTGCTGGAGGCTGCTGCTTGGGGAGCCACTGGAGCAGGAGTGTGTGCTGGAGCCCCGTTTGCTTACAGCTGACGGGAGGCCTGATGCAGGAAATCTGTGCATTCGGGGAGGGGGGCCCTCAGCCGCCTGCACCCTCTGCCAGCCGGAGCCCTCGGGGATGTCGTTGTTGGAAGCCCTCAGTGCTGCTGCCGCTGCCTGTGCTCTGCAGCTGTGCGCCTGCTTCTGTGGAGCCAGTGACCACTGGGGCAGCTCTGCCTGAGCATCCGCCCCCTGGTGGTCATTGCACGTCACAGTGACCGGTCCCTGGTTGTTCGGTGGATTTGCATATTGGCCTGGGTGCTGAGCGGGAGGGCGGAGGGCCTGCTTCCAGGCAGACTGGCCCTCTCCTCGCCCTCACTGTGGGAGGAGGGAGCGGCGGAGAGCAGTGGCCTTTTACGAGGTGGATCCCAGCGTGAGGGCTCCTCGCCGTGGCCCGACCACCCAAAGGCCCGCCCGCTGATCTCTCGGGACCAGGATGTTTGCGTGTGGAGGGGAACCCAAGCATCCAGGCCGTGGCGGAGGGCGTGAAGGGGGGACCATGTCACTCGGACCCTCGTCACAGGCGGAAGGAGGAAAGAGCCAGCGACCAGCTCTCGGCTCCCATCGGAGGCCTCCCTGCCTGCCAGGGTCTGGTCTGTAGGAGCTGCTGCCGGCGGGGCCTCTGAGCTGCGGCCCTTCTACTGAACATGCTCATTGCGTGTGCCTGGGAGACAGCGGGGTGCGTGTGCGTGCGTGTGCGTGCGTGCACGGGTGTGTGTGCGTGTGCGTGCGTGTGCGCGCGCCAGGACTGATGGACGGGGCCTGCTGAGGAGGCGTCTGTGTTGTCGAGGGTTCGCTGAGCTCGCCGCACGGTCCTGGGAACGCCGGTCTCTTCTGTCTGTGCCGAGAGAGCAGCCTGAGAGTGGGTGAGCCGGTGCTGGCACGTGCCTCGGGCCGTGGGCTGTGGATTGTGAGCTGTGGATTGTGGGCTGTGGGCCGTGGGCCGTGGGCCATGGGTTGTGGGCCGTGGCCTGTGGGGCCGTGGGTTTCTGAGCCATGGGCCATGGGCTGTGAGCTGTATGCTGTGGGCTATGGATTGTGAGCCGTGGGCTGTGGACCATGGGCCGTGGGCCATGGCCGTGGCCCGTGGTCCCGGCGCCCGAGGTTGCCCGCCATCACCCGGCCAGCAGGAGCTTTGCTGCCCGCCGCTGCTCCCGGGGTCCCGGCGTGCGCTCCTGCGGGGACAGGAGTGGGTGCCGTGTTCCCTGTATGAAGCACGACCGTGATCGAGAGCCCGTGGCCCGAGGCCGAGCGGACTGCTCACCGTGGGAGTGTGCTCGCTCTCCGGGGACCCCTGACCCCAGGCCGGCCCGCAGGCTCCGTGCTCCCTCACGCAGGGAGGGGTGACGGGCACTGAGGACACCTGGTGCCTCAGGCCCTGTGCCTGCGGGACCCTGGGCGCTCGCAGGCCGGGGCCCCAGGACACACCGGGCTGTGCCTGGGCCGGTGAGACCCTGGACCGGCCAGGGAGGTGTGCCTGGCCAGAGCCTGCGCCATGGAAAGATTGCCCAGCGAGGGGCCAGGCTGTGCCGGCTCCTCCGTCCGCAGAGGAGGGGGGCTCTGGCCGGCCCTCCCCGCCCCGAGTGGGTTTGGACTGGCAGCCAGAGCAAGTGGCGGTCAGCCCGAGGGCGGGGGACACGTGGGGTCCACCCGGCCTGTCCCGTCCTCCCCGCGCCCTGCCCGTCAGCGCCGGGCTGTCCGGAGGGACAGGCGATCGGAGGGCAGGCCGGCGCCGGGGGACGGGGCTCTCCGGGCGGGTGTGCAGGGCTGTCCGTTGTGTCCGCCCGGGCAGCAGGTGGGGAGTGACGGGCGCTGGGAGTGGCGGCGGGTCTGGCTCATGTGAAACCCGCGTTTACACCTTTTCCACGCTCCGTCAGGGTCACAGGCTGTAGCTCCTCAGACAGAGCTATGCACGAAGTTCCCCTTAAACCGGGAGGGAGAGGTGTTAAACCAGGCTGGTGTGCACGGCGGGCTCGGGGGGTTGAGCATCGACCTATGAACCCCGAAGTCAGGGTTCGATTCCTGGTCAGTGCACAGGCCCGGGTTGCAGGTTCGATCCCCAGTGGGGGCGTGCAGGAGGCAGCCAGTCGACGATTCTTTCTCACCGTTGATGTTTCTCTCTCGTTCTCCCTCTCTAAAATCAATCAAAAGCATTTTTAAAAATTACTTTAAAAACCAGCACGTCGGGTTTAACTTGAGGCGTTCGGAATGCTGTGTGTTTTAAAAGCGGCCGGCGGGTGCCGTGACGTGTGATTCAGAACCGGCCCTTCCCCTGGTTTTAGAATCTCCGCCTTCAACAAGCCAGCAGCCTGTGGGTTTACTCCAGGAGGTCCCTCAGGCCCCCGCACTGCCTCCCGCCCGGCCCCTGCGGCTCCTGCCTCCGCCTCTCAGCACCTTTCCCCCGCAGCAGCTGTAATGCCAGGGCCTGCAGCTCCGGCTTCCGGCCCCGGGCCCCAGACCGTGCCCGCGGGCAGGGGGGCAGGCTTGTGCGGGACAGAGCCTGTGTCTGCCTTCCAGTCCCGCTCTCCCCCTCCTTCCTTCCCTCCCTTCCATCGTCTCCGCCTCTCATTCCTTCCTCCCTCCCCTCATTCACTGATTGTGGACGGGTCAGGGCCCCAGCTGTGGGACCCCAGGGAGTCAGTCCCCACTCCCTTTTTAGTTACCTAAGAAGAAAAGATAAAAAGTGTGATAAAATGGCAATAAACACCTGCCTATCAAGGACTGAATCTAAAAACAAAATAAACAGCCGAGCAGGACAGACCTGCTGTGCGGACACAGCACATTGTGACACTGCTGGTGGGGCAGTTAGTGGACAGTCACTGTGCACAGCTCAGCACAGGGAGGAGTCAGCCACCGATCGCAGGCCGGTACGGTGTGTGTGTGTTGGGGGGAGGCTTCTGGCAAGAATCCTCTGTCTGCTCTTCTCCCAACAACCAGGCAGCAAGGATCCTGGCAGCTGCTGTGCGGAGCACCAGCCTCGCTGGCCGCCAGGGGGCGGTGCTCACGTCCTTCTGCACGGAGCCTGGGGGAGGGTTCAGGCCTCAGAGACCAAGCGCCTTTCCCCAGGGAGAAGCCAGGCCTGGGCGCCAGGAGCTGTCACTCAGTTTGCGGTTGGAACGTGGAAGCAGAGGCGCCCACAGAGCCCGCCGGCCGGTGTGCGGTGTGCCCGCAGGGCCCCCGGGAGGCGGCTCTGTCATCCGGGCGCGCTGTATTTCCACAAGGGCCCCCTTTGTGAAGACACCTGCCTAGTGTGGGTGCATTTGAAAGGTGGGTGATTCGGCCGTAACGAGGCTGGGCCAGAGCCCGTCAGCCCGACTCTCGTCCCAGCGTGCCCTCCCTCCCAGCGCAGTCGCTGCGCGGCTCCCAGCTGCCCCTTCCCCGGCGCTGTGCCAGCTGAGAGGATGCCCGCAGCCGGCGGTCGCCCTGCCTCTCCTCCGTCACCGTCCCGTTCGTGGCCATCAAATGAGGGCTTTGCTAGGCACGTGAGTTTGCCAGTTTGCCGTAATTTACCAAATTAAGTAAGCGGTCTTCATGATTCATTGTAAAGTCGTGTAATATTTTTATTCGTAGTCTCTGCCTGGTTTTAGTTTAAAATGAATTGATCGGCAATATTAGGG